AGTGAGGCCAGAGGCCTTCTAAGAAATGGAAAAAGTGATAAGATCCTGAAGTAGGCATGGACATAAAGGATCAATTAAGGGGAGAGACTCTCCAGGACTTAGCAACTGGTTGGACACCGTGGCAAAGGTAAGTTGGCTTCTGGCTAGGAAGCCTGGTTGGATGGAAGGGAAAGGTCAGGTGAAAACAAGGGAGGAGGAGGCTGTCTGGAGTGAACAGAGGCAATATGTGTTTTAAAAAACCCCAGTCCTGCTAAGGCGCCAGCCACATACACCTAAGGTGGCGGGTTTGAATCCAGCCCGGGCCCACCAAACAACAATGATGGCTACAACCAAAAAAAAAAAAAACCCCAGTCCTGGTTTTATAACTTATTAGTTGTGTGACCAAGAATAAATCACCTGACTTTGCTGTAGGAAAGTGGTATCTGCTTTGTACATAGATGAGGTTGCTGGCAGGTTTAGAGGTTCGGAGGTGAGTGTTAGTGAAGGACAGATAGTTTTATTCAGGTGTACGGGCCAGCCTGAGGAGATGGCAGACTGTTGTCTCAAAGATTATCTGATACTCTCTGCTTACCAAGCAACTTATAAATGGAAAGGGTAAAGGGGGTTGGTGGCAGAAAGCAAGCCCTGTTTATCTCCAAACAATAGATTGTCTGGTGGATCTTGTCATCTACAGTCATATGTTGGCCAATTCTAGACTTTTTTTTTTAAGACAGTGTCTCACTATGTTGCCCTCGGTAGAGTACCATGGTGTCATGGCTCACAGCAACCTCAAACCCTTGGGCTTAAGTGATTCTTCTTGCCTCAGCCTCCCAAGTAGCTAGGACTACAGGTGCCCGCCACAATGCTCAGATATTTTTGTTGTTGTTTTTGTTGTTGTCATTGTTATTTAGCAGGCCTGGGCCGGGTTCAAACCTGACAGCCCTGATGTATATGGCCATGCCCTAAACACTGAGTTACAGGTGCCGAGCTGAGACCCCCCATTCTTACAAAAGAGAAAAAAATTAGTTGGGCATGGTGACAAGCCTGTAGTCCTAGCTACTTGGGAGGTGGAGGCAGGAGGATCACTTGAGTGCAGGCGTTCGAGGCAGTGAGCTATTATGATGATGCTAGCCTCCAGCCTGGGGGACAAAGTGAGACTCTGCTCAAAAAATAAAACTGAAGCAATTCTGAGAGCTTTCCAATAGCTGAACATGTGCTGGTTTCTGGAAGGTGCTGTACTCAGGGGAGGGTGTGGAAGCTCAGGCCCTTTCCTCCATATCTTGTCCTACATATCTCTTCATCTGGATCCTTTGTAATATCCAAGGTGTAATCATTAAAAAAAGAGAGAGAGAATTTCTTCAGGCAATGAGGTGACAATGGATATGATTTCTAATTTAAAAACCTATTTAATATCAATAGAAAAGTTTTCTTTAATCATTTTTTTTTTTTTTTTTGGAGACATACTCTCACTCTCTCCTTGGATAGAGTGCTGTGGCATCCTTGTAGCTCACAGCAACCTCAAACTTGGGCTCAAGCAATACTCTTGCCTCAGTTTCCTCAGTAGCTGGGACTATAGGCATGTACCACAACGCCCAGCTAGTTTTTCTATTTTTTTTGGTAGAGACACAGTCCCACTTTATTGCCCTCGGATGAGT